CTAAACAGTTTAATCAATTAGCGAGGTGGAAGGGCTCGGCGTCAGCTGCAGCGCTAATGAGCGGCCCCACCCCCACCTGTGGGACCCGCAGCGGGGCTCTGGCCCCTCAGCAGGCCCTCCCAGTCCAGCGGGTGTGGGGGGCGGCCAAGGAGGGGGTCTGGAAACCCAGCTCTGCAGCCCCCACGCTAGAGGCTCAGCCACACAGTGCCCAGTGCCTGGCCCTCCCTGCAGCCAGCTTTCCTTCTGGAACCTCCGGCAGACCCCTCCCAGCGGAGGAGGCTAAACTCACAGGATTAGCCAGGAAGTAGGGTGGCTCCTTGTGTAGACGGAGTCAAGATTGAGGGAGGATGAGGCGGGAGCCAGGACTGTCCCCGCCACCCCAGCGTCCCAGCTGACGCCTCTCACACACCCACGCATGGAGACACCAGTGAACACAGACCACGTTCCTGCCCGACCGGACACTGCTTGCACGTGCTGGGCCCTCAGCCAGCCAGTGACAAGCGGGAAACTGAGTCACAGCTCCCACAAGCCATCATTTGCAGATCAGGGATGTGTGTGGAAACTGAGTCACAGCTCCCACAGTCCAGCGTTTGCAGATCAGGGACCAGCATGGAAACTGAGTCACAACTCCCATGGGCCAGTGTTTGCAGATCGGGGACGAGTGTGGAAACTGAGTCACAGCTCCCATGGGCCAGCGTTTGCAGATCGGGGACCAGCATGGAAACTGAGTCACAGCTCCCACGGACATTTGCAGGTCGGGGACCAGCGTGGAAACTGAGTCACAGCTCCAACAGGCCAACGTTTGCAGATCGGTGACCATGTGGACCTGTGGGCTCTGGTGGCTCTCAGCTTCTCTCTCTCAGCCATCAGCTGACTGGACCCCAGGGTGAAAGGTGGAGGCATCTGGGCATTCAACAAACAGGAGCCCCCCTTCCACCCTGCCTAGCACAGGCTGTCCCCGACCCGGAGAGTTCTTGGAAAACCTCCAGGGCTTCCCAGAGGGAAAAGGGCAGGTGGAGGGGGCGAGCGGGGGCCGGAAACGGTGGGGGGGAGGCTGATTCTCACTTTGGGAGCAAGGAGGAGCCTTGCCAACCCCCCTTCCCTTATGGGGGGCCTGACAGATACCAGGTTACTGGGAGAAGCCACCATCCCCAAGAGCTCTGAAGCCTCTGATTTGTCTTGGGCAAGTCTCACTGCTCTTGGGGAACATGGGGGCCGCTGGGGGCCGCCCTGGAGGGGAAGCAGTTGCTGGACTGGGCAGGACCAGGCAGGGCCAGGCCTTCGGCGAGAACAGTGCAAACTGCGCTGCGCTCTGACGGCTTTTCCGGTTGCTCTTGGGATGAACTGCACCCTGAGCCCCGGCCTCCTTGCCTTCGTGTGGAGCTCCCCAACCTCTCCAGTGGCAAAGTCCGGTGAGCCAGGACTCCCTGCACTGGTGATGACCCAGAGAATCCAGGCCCCAGCCAGGGCAGCATCTCCCACGGCCACCCTGCACCTGCCCACCCTGGCTGCCCAGGTCAGATGCCCCCAGCAGATGGGAACCCTCAGGGCTGGGTGCAGCATTCACCCTGGGGTGCCAGGCAGGGTCATGATTCCCCAGGAAAGAGCTGGGGCCACAGATCTGCAGGCTGGGGTGTCCTGCAGAGGAGAGAGCTCAGGGAGAGCTGGAAGCCACTTCCAGACGCGGCGTTCCAGGCCTGGCTCAAAGCCCACCTCCCCCGTGAAGCCCACCTCTACCCTCAAAATTAGAAGCAAGTTCTGCACACCCAGCACCCACACACTCAACCTGGACCCTCACGTTTTCCTCAGAGGACCTGTAGATCAGCCCTGTGCATGTTCACGGCCATGGGCACCTGAGGGGGGCAGGTCCCAGACCTGAGCAGGCAGCCAGACCTCACAGCCCCGCCCTGGACCTCACGGCCCCGCCCTGGACCTCACGGCCCTGTCCTGACTGGGCAAAGGGACGAGGCCCCAGGGCCATCAGGGTATCCTGCCTGGGGCAGTGGGGTATGGCGTGTCCACACTCATGGCTCTTGGAGTTCCCCAGCATCCCAAGGAGCACAGCAGGCAGTCATGGGACCCCAAGGGATCCTGTGCCAGCGGCCTTGGCCTTGGTGGGGGATGGAAGAGAGGTAGACGGACGCCCCTAAGCCTCCAGGGACTATGGGGGCCTTAGCCCCTCGGGGCATCCCATGGGTGGCAGGACAAGGCTGGGTCCAGCACCCTCATGAATCCCTGGATCCCCAGCTCTGATGTGGGGGCCCCACCTGGCAGGGGAGTGGAGGAGAGGTGAGGCTACCCCTCTGCAAACAGACCGAGGAGTACAGTGACCACCAAACACAGCAAACCCATCAGGCTGAGGCGCCCGGCCGAGGTGACAAGAAAGGTGTTGAGGCCTCTGAAGGCCTCAGGGTTTGACCAGAAGCAGCATCGGAGGAGGACAGGCAGAGCTGGCGCTGCGGGAGGGTGGGGAAGGGGAGCCCCTGAGTGTGTCATGGCCTGACACCCGAGAAGCTCTGCACAGGTCAGAGGGAGGTTGGGCGCTGGGACATGGGGATCTTCCAGCTGCCCCCCACAAGCAGCCCAGGCCGCTGGGGAGACTCCCTGGTGGTACTAAGCTCCCAGGCCACAGAGAGGAGGCCCCTGACAGGACCTGACAGCCTCAGCTGCCTCTCACAACAGCCTCCAAGACCACTCCCACCTCAGCCCCGGCCCCCACTCCGGAGAGACTTCCTACTTGGCAAGCCTTGCCGTCTCCTAGACTCTGGACCAAAGATCCACAGGCACTTCTAAAAACAGAAGCCTCCCACGAAGCGTGACCTCTACTCCACCTGACACTAGGTTCTGGCCAAACCCAGGATCCCTGCAACTGAGGAGAGGCTGCCACCTTCTTGTTCTGCAGCCTCCTCCTGGCAGTCCACACCCCCTGGAGCCACCCCAGAAAACCCAGGTTCCGGAGGCAAGTTCCATTCCTCCCTGCTGTGGGCTGGGCACCCGTGCCGTGATGTCCTGCTGGCAAAGATGTGCGGGGCACCAGCCACAGTGGGACCTGGCCTAGCCCCAGCCCTGCTGCTTCAGGTCCTCGCCCACAAGCACCTGCTTCTTGTAGTAATGTGTGGGAGCCTGTAGACCTGTGCTGGCTCAGATCTGAGCTGCTGCTCACCTGAGACGGTGCACGGTCCTTACCCAGAGTCCCTGAGACGGTACCAGCACCTGAGACAATGCACGGTCCTCACCCAGGTACCTGAGATGGTGCACAGTCCTTACCCAGCATCCCTGAGACAGTGTACGGTCCTCACCCAGGGTTCCTGAGATGGTGTACGGTCCTCACCCAGGGTCGCTGAGACGGTGCACCGTCCTCACCCAGGGTCCCTGAGACAGTGTGCGGTCCTCACCCAGGGTCCCTGAGACGGTGCGCGGTCCTCACCCAGGGTCCCTGAGACGGTGCGCGGTCCTCACCCAGTGTCCCTGAGACAGTGCGCGGTCCTCACCCAGGGTCCCTGAGACAGTACCAGCACCTGAGATGGTGCGCGGTCCTCACCCAGGGTCCCTGAGACGGTGCGCGGTCCTCACCCAGGGTCCCTGAGACGGTACCAGCACCTGAGATGGTGCGCGGTCCTCACCCAGGGTCCCTGAGACAGTGCGCGGTCCTCACCCAGGGTCCCTGAGACGGTGCGCGGTCCTCACCCAGGGTCCCTGAGACGGTGCACCGTCCTCACCCAGGGTCCCTGAGACGGTGCGCGGTCCTCACCCAGTGTCCCTGAGACGGTGCGCGGTCCTCACCCAGTGTCCCTGAGACGGTGCGCGGTCCTCACCCAGGTACCTGAGACGGTGCACGGTCCTCACCCAGGGTCCCTGAGATGGTGCACGGTCCTCACCCAGCATCCCTGAGATGGTGCACGGTCCTCACCCAGGGTCCCTGAGACGGTGCACGGTCCTCACCCAGGGTCCCTGAGATGGTGCACGATCCTTACCCAGGGTACCTGAGCATTTGGTGAGGCCAGCATGGTACCCACTGACCACACCAGCCTCTCCCAGGTCCCCTCTGCTCTCGGCAGCTGCACAGGTACAACCACCTGATTCACATGATAAATGGAAATGCAGGATTGGGTCTGGTTAACCGGCGCTCCCAGGGACCCTCTGTGCCAGGGCATGGCGTCCCCCCAAATTTCATGTCCACCAGGAACCGCTGAGTGTGACCTTATTTGGAAATGGGGTCTTTGTGCATGTATTCGGGACGGGGGTGGGCCCCAATCCAGTGACCAATGTCCTAGTTAGAGAAAGATCTGGACGCAGACACAGGGAAAAGCCACGTGGCCATGGAGGCAGAGACTGGAGCAATGGGGTTACCATCAAGGATCCCCCGGAGGCTGAGGAGAAGATGAAGGCTCTGCCCACACTGTGACTGTGGACTGTGGCCTCAGGAACTCAGAGCACGAGGCTGTTTCAGCCCCACAGTGGGTAGCCGCATCCTATGGGGACACAGGGTCACCGGCCTGCGTTCAGATCAGCTCCTGGGCATCCAGAGACATTCTGTGGGCTCCTGCGCTTTGGGGAGGCTGGGGTCACAGGGCAGGACCCGAGTTCATGGAGACAACAGGGGCAGGTGCTGAGGGACGGTGGCCAGGGGGAGCTGGGAGGAGCCGGCGGGAGACCCAGGGTGTGTCTAGTGAGGCCCCAGTCCAGGCCGTGGGCACCTGACCCAGTGAAAGGCAGGCTGGCTCATGGGTCGTGCGATTCTCATCTTTATTCTCCAGAACGAAACAGCCAGCGGCATGAAAAGGACCCCAGCTGGCCGTGCTCATTCTTCAAAAATAAAACTAAAAACCTAGGTATTTGGCTCCATAAACTTCTGTCATGAGAATAACAGCTCTGAATGGTCCCAAGGCTCTTCCTCGCCCACGGCGCCAGCAGCCAGCCCTTCACCCAGCTCCGGCCACATGCAGTGACGCAAAGTGTCTTTAAGGAACGGTATCGAATGGGGTCCCCAGGCATTTCACGACACAGGACGGTTTCCTATGCACATTTCTTTTTTTACAAAAAACAATATAATAACTTAGTTTGCATTTTACAGCATTTCCAATCGGCCAGGGCGTCCATGGCTGGCAGCTCACAGGGCTGAGTGTGGCAAGCACTTCCAGCTTGGGCGCCAGGGTCAGGTCTGGGCCCCGGACACCTGGCCCCCACCAGGACTCCAGCACCCACTGCAGCCTGTGGCTCATCAGAGAGGGAGGCAGCGCCCCGAGGACCCCAGGTCAGTCCATGCCAACCTCACAAGGGTTCAGCCCCCTCTCCTGGGCATCCCTGTACATCCTCTGGAAGTCCTTGAAGCGTGGGGCACAGCCCAGCCGCGCCTCCCCAAAGTGCATGTGACCGGTGAAGAGGAAGTCACCGTGCCCCGGCCGCACGCCACACTCCAGCAGCGTCCGGACGTGTCCCTGCCAGTGGCCGTCACCCTCGGGCACCGGCTCAAAGACCCTGCTTTTCTGCCGGTAGAGTCTGCTCACGCGCAGGTGGATGGCCGAGTCCTGCCGCTCCGGCTCATGGGTGACTTCCTGGATGGAGCCTCGAACGGCTGTGCAGGAAAGGAGGTGGAGACAGGGGGTCGGGGGTGAGCCGGGGAAGCACGCAGGCGGCCGCACGCCCCCCACCCCGCACACTCCCCATCTCCCTCACACGCCCCCTCATCCCCCCGCAGTGCCCCCTCGACGGGCGTTGGAACAGGGGGCTGACCGCAGACTCTGCCATCTAGCTTGAAACTCCCGCTGAAAAGTACAACTTAACAGCAGGAAGCCACCAGGGCTCGTCCCAGCCGTTCAGACTGTCAGCGAACAGGTGCTCTGTCTACCAAGGGCCAGACGCATACGTGCAGAAACAGAACCTGAAAACCACGTTTTTCAAGTGGGTGCCCCTGCAGCTCTGCGCCCTCATCAGACAGACCCGGTCCAGCTCAGAGGAGAGGGTGACATGAGGAGACAGAGGGAGGGTGGGCATGGGGACAGCTCAGGGCTGCCCTTGGAGACCCCGCCCAGGGCCCAGGAAAGCCGTGAGAAGGGGTCTGTCCGTGAGCTTGGCGGTGGGTGCTAAGCCTCAGCCCTGCGGGACGTGGCTTCCCACAGCCAAACCCTTCCCAGAGCGTCTGTGCCAATGCCACAGGCAAAGGGGCTGCAGCCCTGGGACCCACCACACTCCCCCTGCAGAGCGGCAGGGCCACTGGGCCTTAGGTGTGGAACAGCATGGCCTCGGGTGGAGGCGGGCAGTGTCCAACGCCAAGGGTGCTCTGGGCTGCTGATAAAATGCTGTTTACAAAGCACTGCAGAAAGCAGCGCTGCTGGGAAACAACGGACTTCCAGCATCCCCACGAAGAGCAATGATCACATTTACACACCGGGAGACGCCCGCAGCTCCCTCCAAGTGAGTCCAGTCCCCAGGGCTGGAGGAGGGCCTAGCCCTGGGCCTCTGCAGAGTGACCCCTCCGGGGGTCAGCAAAGCACTAGAGCTGGAGGCCTGTCCTGGGCCCTGAAGAGGGGGCACCCGGGAGGCAGACACTCACCAAAGTCGCTGGTGCACACGGCCAGGAGCACCTCGGTGTCGCTGCAGGGGCGGCAGGGGGCTGCGGAAGAAACGCAGAGTCAGCAGGCGGCCCGCACGGGATAGGCTCTGGGCTGCCGCCCGCCACATCACATGATCTCACACTCAGCAAAGCCCAGTGGGGGCGGGTATCCACATCGAGGCACCTCTGTGGCCAAGGTGAGTGGGCGGCACATGGAGGGGGCCGGCAGAGCAGGAGACAGAAGTACAACCCTCGGCCGCACCGGGGTCTCACCCCGGGGACCCCTCAGCTCCATCTAGACCAAACGCACCCGCACCTGATGGCACAGACCGGAGAGCAGACCCTCAGCCAGACATGGCCCATCCCAGGGCCTTGACCGGGGGGTCTTCATGCTCTTTGCCTGCTTACATCCTCAGTGTGGCGGAGCCGGACTCACTCAGAAATCACTCCCATGCCTGTTTCAAATGCAAAGCCCACCTGGGGCTGACCCGAAACCGTGCCTCCGCCCAACCTCCATATCTACACCCCGTGATGCTGGGACCACCCCGACTTTCCAGCTCCCTCAAAAGGCAGGCACTCCCCACAGCTCTGCTGCCCACTTCCCTGGACCGCAACAGCCCCCCAAGCAGCTGGAAGGGTCAGAAAGGTGGAGATTCCAGGAAGGGAATCCCTCAGCAGGCAGAACCCCCTGTGATGCTCCTGAACCCTGGGGCCTGGCCTCCCCCAGAGAACGCAGGAAGTGTGGAGTGAGGCTCCTGCACCGGCCAAACCGGCTTTCGGCCTCCTCCCGGCCCAGCCCTCGCCCTGCCCTTTGCCCCAGTTTCTGAGACGGGTGAGCCTCGTGAAACAGAAACCTCTGCACGCCACGCGTCCCTACACTCAGGGTAGACTCGGGAAACACGGTTTTATTATTCACTCTTATTGCAGGTTTCAGGGCCTCACCCCACCTGTTCTGAGCCTCCAGGTTTTGGCTCCACATCTCCTAACTCAGTAGAAACTCCGAGATGTGAAATCTCAATGACACCTGTTTCCCCTGCACCATTTCACATTCTGAAGCCTCTGGAAGGTCCCTGGCCAAGAGCTGGGACCACCTTGCCTGGGGGTTCGCTGGCCCTGAAGCTCATATCTGCACCCTGGCCGGCTGCTCCTGCTGGGCTAAGCTGGGCTGAGCTGTCACCTGGCTGATGAGTACAGGCCCGAGCTGGCCGCTGGTGCCCGGGGGCCCTGGGGTTCAGAGCAGCGCGCATATCTGGCACCTTGGCACGGTGCGGACAGCTGCTCAGAGAGGGCTTCTGGGGTCACGAACTTGCGTGGACCCTCAGGGCCTGCACAGGGGTCTTGGAGTCTGCAGCGCCCTGGGCAAGCACAGTTCTGTGTGGACCCCTGGGGTGGAGGTGAGTGTCTGGGGTCCTACCCCCTCAGGGATGAAGCCGGCACTCCCTGACAGGTGGGGTGAGGGCACCTCCCAGCCTGACTCACCGGCCCACCCACCTCCTCCTGCGTTTCTTTCCATCAAGTTATCAAGAAAAAGAAGCTGTGGAGCCAGCACAACCTGCCGGGCACCTGGAAGCCAGCCGAGACAGCCTCGCCCCCACCAGCAGCCCTGCCGAATGGGAGCTCCGGTCAAATCCCCTTCCTGCTGGTTTGTGCAGACCCACGCTGCAGCCCCTGCACTGGGGGCTCCTGGGGGTCAGGACCCAGCCTGGAAGCAGCCCAGTGGTCTAGGCACTCTCCTATGGGGGCCCTGGGGCGTGCCCGCCCTGGTCACTTAGTTCACCTATGTGGACCCCCATGCTGCTCCCCGGCTGGGTACCTGCTGACAATACTGGGCCTGATGCAGGTGGGGGCCAGATGGAGGCCAGCAGCACAGACCCCCACCCGAGCCCAGGAGAGACACACAGAGCCCACGCAGCCCAAGGGGCTCACGTTTCAGGCAGCACTTTTATCCCCCACAGGTGAGACTGCCCCCCCAGGCCCACAGCTGCCCAGCCCCACAGGGCCAGAGGTCCCAGGCCAGCACCCCTCACGTGGGTGGGGGTCGGTCAGTGACAAGAACGGTGACCACAGCCCACCTGAGGGTCCCCACACTGAGCAGCACCCTCTGCCTGGGCAGCCATGGCAGCTGGGGCTGGGCCAGGGGCCCTGGAGGGCAGGAGGCGGGAGGTGCCCGAAGCCTGTCCTCCCGGTCAGCAAATGCGGTCAGTGCGTGGGCTCCCACCCTGGGGCAGCGCAGCCCACAGCCCAGCCACACGCGTCCCACCCTGGGCCTGGGCATGCGAGCTTATCCAAGCCCTGGCGCCTCACCCTCTGTGAGTCACGGCCCAGCGACCTCAGTGGACAGCGCGGGGGAGGGTGGAGACGCTCCCCTCACGCCCCCTGGGTGCCCCGCCCTGGCTCGCCTGGCCGTCGGCGGGGGTGTGGGGCGTGGGGGTGTGGGGCCCGGGGGGGTCAGTGCCTGCAGCCTGGCCTTCTGGAAGCCCCTGGAGACCTCCCATCGACAGCTGAGCTAATAAAGAGCACCCCAGAGACCTCCTTGTTCTGATCCTGAGCTTTGCAAAGTGGAGTCGCCTTCACAAAGGGCACAGGGTGGACCCCAGAGGACGATCTGGGGACAATTATTAACGGAGCCAGGCTTGTGACGGCAGCAGAATGCGCTGGTCATGGACACTGGTATCTATAGTTTCCAGGGGGTCGGGGGGCCGTCAAAGGGTTGGAGTCCCGGTCCATCCTCCTGGAGGGGAGAGCTGGGGTGTGGACGTCTCGGGGACATCACCGAGTGGGAGGCACCAGCAGGGTGGGGCTGGGGGGCTGCTGCGGGGACTCGGGTTGGACAGCAGGTGTGAGTGGAGAGCCAGTGCCGTGGGCAAAGCAGGACCGGCTGGTTCCGAGGATGACAGACACCAGCCCGTACAGCAGCACTGCCCAGGCCGGGACGGCCAGCAGGATTCAGGCAGTCCAGTGGTAAACCTCTGTGACCATGACAGCTGGGACTCCCACGCAGCTGGTGACGGGGACACAGCGCTTCTGAGGTGCTGGGACTCCCACGCAGCTGGTGACGGGGACACAGCGCTTCTGAGGTGCCAGGAGCAGTGAGCGGCAGGTGGGTGGAGACCGGGACCCAGGCCGAGCTCCCAAGGCTCCTCCCAAGGCCGCCATCATCACCTCGCAGCGTGGCTGGACTCCAGGCTGCAGTCCATTGCTGGGGCGCCCTGGGGTTGCTGGCCCCTGGCCCCTGCCCTTCCCCCTGCCTCCCTCCGTTTCTCCCTCCCTCTTCCTGGTGAGGAAGCTGGTGGGGTCACTCCCTTCCTCTCCACAAGCCGGGAGATGGTTCAAATGAAAATTACAGTGACTGGAGAGAAGACACCAAGGCAGGAAGTGAAAGACGGATGAGCGACAGGGACGCCTTGGAAAATCCGCCCCTCTCCTTCTCTGCTTCCAGAAATCATGCGGATTCTCTTCCCCACTTTTCCACCCATCCCTCCCACCCATCAAGGACCTCTCCAGGGCCTCTGCACCCACCGAGCTGGTCACATGCCTACGGGCTCAGCCAGGGGCAGCTCTTTAAAGGGAAGGGGTGTGGAGGCCCCGAGGCATCCTGGAGAGCCTGAGACAGCACCGTGCACTCGTGACCAGCATCAAGGCAGCATCCCCTCCCGCCACTGTGTGTGTCCACAATGCTGCTGCCCGGCCTGGCACCTGCACCCCAAGCCCCGAGCACAGAAGTGGCCAAGCCAGGAGGACCTGACAGGAGACCCTGGGAGAAGCCGAAGAACAGACTGGAATCCTGACCCACCTGGACAGCCTCTGGTCTGTGTTCCCCAGAACCAGACGGAGCCCCTACCCACATCCCCAACCCCCTGGGTGCGGCCTGTTTCCCAGATGCACTGGCCTGGGGACAGAGGCGCCACACAGCCTCAGCCAGGTCTGCTGAGCACAGATTTGGGCATCGCCTGGAGGTGCGCCTGTCCACTCCCTGCCCGTCCCGTCCCGCAGGGTTTCCTCACACCCAAGAAAGGTGTCTGTGCCATCTGAGGCTGGTGCAGAGCTGTCAGGTCCCGCCCAGAGATAGCCAAATCCCAAAGCCCCGGGGCTGGGTCACCCCTGCCCCCCACCTGGCCCAGTCTATATTCCTGGAGGAGCAGCCTGCCCATGCTTTGGCCAGCTCTGGGTTACGGGTGCGTCTCATTTATTCAAGCCGATTATGCAGCACGAATGTGCCAGTCACACCCAGGAGAAGTGCCCGAGCAGCAGGTTTCGTGCCGGCTGGGCAGGGAATGGGCTCACACACCCTCTCTTGTCCAGGATTCCAGCCCTTGGAGCCTCTGCCCTCCTAAGTCAGCAAAACTGGAACTTCTGATTCACAGCGAGCTCGCCCACCTCCCAGTGGGCGGCACACGCCAGGCCCAAGGTATCAGCACACCTCAGGCTCAGCGGGGCCCTCACAGGCTGCCACAGCTGCCGGGAGTGCAGGAACGGGCAGGAGACTGCTGGGGGGCCGGCCATGCCCAGGGGATGGCGTCTCTGCTGCCAGATGGCCCCGACATTCCACATTATGGATCCATTCCTGCAGCATTAAGGGCTTAGGGGCCCCATCTCCTGATGAAAGGCCAATACCCTGGAGAGAGGAGGCGCATCTGCCTCCTGGGTTCCTCCTGTTCCTCAACCCCATCAGGACCGGGGAGGCCTCTTGTGAGGGCCCTGCCCATGTGGTCCAGGTGGGTCAGACACCTGTGCCCATTCCCGTGGAGATGCCAGACCTGGGTCCCAGCTCTGGGGGCCCCGGTGAACCTGAGAGTCTGGGCCTCTGTCCCCAGTTCTGAGGGTCCCTGCAGGTCTGCTTCCTCTGATGAGCAACCCACCACCCACAGGGCGCTGGAAATCGTCTCCGCTCAGTTTAAACAGATGGCAGAGGGCCACTGGGCGTCAACAGGGGAACCCAAGCACCTGCCTCACAGGACACAGCAAAGTTCTGGGACCCCAAGCCAGCCTGTCGTGTGCTGGGCACGGTCCTGTGCGGGGCCCTACAGACCCAGGAGCACATGGAGGGCAGGGGAGGGACCCATGGCCAGACGCCTGCTCCGGCCCCTGGTGGCTCAAGTCACTTCTCACGAGGGGCTGCTGCCTCCCTGTGACCCCACAGGAACCTGAGGCCACTCAGCCCCAACCCCCGCTGCCTCTCCCAACCCACCCACCGCCCCAGCCTATACAGGGCCTGGAAGCCTCGGCCCCCACCCCCAGAGGCAGGAGAGACAGTCTCTGTTCCCAAAGGTGAGCTCACAGGCTCTGTAGGGTCACCCCAGCTGACAACCAGAACCACTGATTTTCCACTGGAAATCTAGAAACGTGGGCTATGCAAATGTGGCCGTCCAGGTGCACCTGCCGGCATGGTGACTGTGCTGCAGGCTTTAAGACTCTCACACAGAAGCAAACAAAGCTCAGGCCACAGAACATGTGACGCGGCCCAGCTCTTCAAGACCAATTAACACTTTAAATCAGCAGAGAGATGCTCGCAAGTTCTACCTTCTACCTCTGTTCAGGAAGACTGAACTTGGTGCCTGGATTTCTCCAGACTTGCTTTCATTGTCTAGAGACTTTCTCTCCAGGGCCCCCGGACCAAGGCTTGTGCCCCTCCCCCAGGTTCCCGGCCCACCATAACTGTTGCCGTTAAAGTTTTACCCAGCATGCCACCAACCACGGCACAGCTGAGTTGACATCAGCGTCCAGCCCTGCAGGGGCGGTCAGTCGGGACTCAGGGACTCCCGCGGCAGTGGGTCCGACGCTCACTTGAGAGAGATTTCAGAGGGAGATGGAAAACTGATCTGGGCCAAGAACACAGAACACAGAAGTGTGGGCTTCTGCTCAGGACGTTGAGTCCGCACGTTTCAGATCCTCAGACGGCTGGTTTTCCCCAGAGAATCTTTTAGTCACTAACCCTGGTGCTCCCTCTTACCTCAGGCACGCCCACCCCTCAGCCAGGTGTCTCCACCCGGGCCCGGCTGACATTCTGGGCCAGATCAATCTCTGGGTTGAGGCGTCCTGTGGAATGTGAAGCAGCCCCCCAGCCCCTGCCCACATCATGCCAGTGACCCCCAGCCATGCGTGACAACAACGGGCCACAAGATGGTTTACCTGGTCGGCCACCGCTGGGACAGCCCCCCTGGAACAGCTCCCAGGCTGAGGTCCAGACAGTCCCAGCTCACACAGTCCCAAGACCCTGCACAGCCCTGGACAGTGACCACCCTGCCCATGAAGCTGACGGTGCTCAAAGGGCCCCGTGCCTCACATTCAGACCCCACCAGCAGCAGTGTGGAGCCTGCACCTGGCCCTGGTGTCCCCAAAAAACAGCACCCTGGGCCTGCTCACAGCACAAGAGGTAGGACCTGCCCCGTCTCCCCTCCAGGGGCCCGAGGCTGAAGCAACACAGACCAGGAGGTCACACGGCCCACGTGTGCCTCCCAGGACCTCATGCTTCCTGCGGTCTGCCCACAGAATTTTCTAGAGACCAACAAAGCCCTCCACGAAGGACCTCTCCCCCAGGCACAGGCATCCACAGATACCCCATGACACCTCCACTCCCTGCCTGCCACACAGGGAATCTGTCGGCTTATTTCACCCACGAGACCCCTCTGGGACCGGGGCTGGCCCCATGTTCTGGACATCATAGCTCAGTACCGCTCCAGGCTGAGTCAGCCTCAGCTCCCACCCAAAAATCGACGTTTCAAGGTCTTCAGCTGACACCAGAAATACCCAGCCAATTCTCAGGGCTGTTTGAATGGGAAAAGCACCCGTTTCAAAGGAGCTACACCGTCCACAAGCACAGGGCATGTCCCTTAGCACCGGCCCTGCCACCACGCGAGGACACTTGCCACAGTCAACAGACACACTCCCCGCCACACTCCCAGACACGCTCCCAGACACGCTCCCCAACACGCTCCCCGTCACGCTCCCAGACACGCTCCCCGCCACGCTCCCCGTCACACTCCCAGACACGCTCCCAGACACGCTCCCACACTCCCCGCAACGCTCCCCTCCATGCTCCCCGCCACGCTCCCCGCCACGCTCCCCGCCACGCTCCCCGCCACGCTCCCCTCCATGCTCCCCGCCACGCTCCCCGCAACACTCCCCAGACACGCTCCCCGCCACGCTCCCAGACACGCTCCCACACTCCCCGCCATGCTCCCCGCCACACTCCCCAGACACACTCCCCGCCACGTTCTCTGTACTCCCCGCACTCCCCGCCACACTCCCCAGACATACTCCCTGCCATGCTCCCAATCACACTCCCTGCCACGCTCCCCACACTTTCTGCCACACTTTCTTCCACACGCCCCACCACGGTCCCCTGACACACTTCCCAGGAGGCAGGCTGCTCATCCAAGGCCGTTCCACCCAGAACACTCACGCAGATGGGCCAGTCTTTTCACAGGTGATTCCAGCTGGAAAGGCTGGATTTCACAGGTGGTTTAATTTGAAGCTCCCACACCCCCCGACACCACGTCACACCCCCAGAAGGGCCCCTCTGCTGGCACCAGTGACCCCCAACCCTAGCCGCCTGTGGGGCTCTTTGGGCAAACCCGCCACATCTGAAGCAAGAAGTGTTTTCACCAAGGCTGAGCAGACAAGGGGGCGAGGAGAAATCAGAAACACCTGCCACGATGACATAGCCCGTGGCTTAGACCGGGAGCCCACGCCAACCCCACCGGCCCCGCCCGCGGCGGGCCACTCACCCGACAGCTCGTGCAGGTCCGACGCCCTGTGCCTCCTGATCAGCTCGTACTGGAAGCCCGTGGTCCTTCGGCCGATGTCCTGCTGCGGCGTGGCCTCCACGAACAGGCCGCCCTGCTCCAGGCCGAAGCACTGCACGCCGCCAGGCCTGCCGTCTCCGTCCCGCACAAGCAGTCTCAGCTCTCCAGTTTTTTCCAAATAAATATTGGCCCCCGAGGAGTCCCTGAAAGGCTTGATGCACACAGTCAGATGCCGGGCAGGCGAGAAGGTGTTGGGCCGCAGGTTCACGATGAGTGCGCCTGTAGGGTACATCCACTCCACGGTGCCGGCCGCACAGCGCAGATACACCTGCTCCACCTCCTTCCTGTGTGCCTCGTGCGTCAGCCCGCTGCGGAGGGAGACACGTCAGCCAGGCTCGGAGCCGAGGCTCCTGCCCCAGCACACACCTGCTCACCGCAGGGAGAACCCAGGCCCGAGCTGAGGCTCCTGCCCCAGCACACACCTGCCCACCGCAAGAAGAAGCCAGGCCCAGAGCTGAGGCTCCTGCCCCAGTACACACCTGCCCACCGCAGGGAGAAACCAGGTCCTGAGCTGAGGCTCCTGCCCCCAGCCCACACCTGCCCACAGGCAGCCAGTGAGGAAGACACCTGCTTGTAATGATGGCGGCTCATGGACCCACCCGCTGCTGGCCACAGGTCCCATGCGGACCTGTGCCCGTGAGGCAGGCTAGCGCCATCTCTGACCTTTGGCACTGGGCCCACTTCCAGGGTGGGGCCTTCACAGGGGCCCCCACCCAGTTCCTTCCATGCACCTGTGCCAAGGGCCATGGTGTGGTGGGGTCGAGCTCCCACCAGTGCAGGTGGTGCTCCCCCAGGCTCCCCAGCCGCCCCCCGACACTCGGCGTCTGCCCCTCTGCTGCCCCAGCGTCAAACACCAATCTCTGTAGCATCCCTGAATCAGGGTAACTGGGGGTACAGGGGCAGTGGAATGGAGCCCCAAGGAAGGGATGGATTCCTCCAGAAGATCATGGGAACACCAACAGCCCCTGGGTACCAACTCTAGTTCCAGATGACCACGTGAGGGCCGGGACGCTAGAGGTCACGTGAGAATGGGGCCACCGAGTGTGGAGGCAGAACCCGGGAAGCAACCTGCCCCAGAGAACAGCTTTTACATTAATTAGGAGTGTTGGCAACTTGGGGCCATGGAAGTTCTTGGTGAGTTTGTCTTTTAGCACTTCATTAGCCAATGATTTGACCATTTTTCGAAAGTCTGAAGACCCTGCACTAATGACAGTATTTGCAAAAAATAAGCTCTCGTTAAAAAAAGATTCACTGCAAAAGCAAGGTAAACTTCCTCCACAGGGTGAGGATTCAGGTGGGGGCTAGCTTGTGAGCAGCAAGCTAATTTCACCCCCAATAAATGCTAAACAGAAAATACGAAGTGCACGGCACTCCTGGAGAGGCAGGTCCTGGGCAGAAACAGTTATATTTTCAAGAAATTGAAACATCAAAAACCTTAAGCTGCTCCTTCTTGGCACTTCAATGTAAATGCCAGCTGGTGGCTAACAGTCACGTCATAACCACCAGTGGGCCTGGAACTAACCCAGTGACTTCAACTAAGTGTTTGATTACATGAGAGTGGGTTCTGATCAGATCTCAGACAGGTTCACCCACATTCTTAGGATTTTTATGTGAAATAAGCAATGCTCTTTCCAGAGCCCTGGCCTGAGCCAGGCACCAGAAGCCTTTTCTGGTAACATGCGTAACATGTGGTTCGCATTTACCGCTGGTGACTCACACTCCGGGCCCCCAAACCTCACTTTTCATAGGCTGCGGCCACATCACAGGGCAGCCTCGTCAAGGGGTGCACCACCTCACCCCCTCCCGCCCCCACAAAGCCCCAGGTCATGAGTGGCCAGGGCGGCTGCCAGGATCACACACCCAGAACAGACTCACAAATTACAGTCAATAAAGCTCACACAAGCTCATCTAACACGCATGTGGGGAAGGGCTGATGAGACTGCTGTGTGTCAGTTAGACTAAATGGTGAGTGGCTGACACGCTCAGCTCCAGTCAGCTCTTCCTAAGCAACTGAAACAGACTTCTCATCCCCTCCCCCCCATCTCCGGCATCAAGGCCACTGTTCTCTTCCCCGTGCTCGGGGACTGAGCCTCAACCCTCTCCACGGAAACCACAGACACCTTCCTGACCACCTTTATGGCTACTGGCTGATAAAATGGAGTGTTGGCCCTGCCTCCCTCTTGGTGGGGCCTGAAGGTCGAGGGAGTGGGGAACTTTCGCCCAGGGTTCTGGTGACCTTCATCAGGGCACTACCTTCATCAGGGCAGGGGCGGAGGGAGGGCACCCTCCTGGGGACAGGCAGCCAAATCCCTCTGCCCGGGGGAGGCTGACCCCAGCCTGAGCCGGGTGTCCTGGCCTGGCACATGCTACCCGAATCTGGTGGGCACAGCTGGCTCCACCCACTCAGAAGACACTGGGTAAAAGATGAACGGGGACAAAACGCAGGTGGACACAGGAGAAAGAGGCACCCTGCTTCCTCGCCCTTCAGCTAACGTCTGCTCAGCCCACTCAGAGGGGCCTGCACCCAGCACAGGGCCTGCTCCCCCATCCTCTCGTGTTCTTCCAAAACAGCCAGACCAGCGGGACCCCAACGAGGCATGTGATATTCAATCAGCAGCATGTGATGTCCAAGACCTGTGCAGTCAAAAAAATGTGAAACCATGCGTCCTTCAGCCTGGGACCCAGCAGACCTCTGTATGAAGTCGAAGACTCAGGGTCTGTGCTGGTTCCTACCAGAAAATCTAGCCCTCAAATGTCTCACCTCGAACCACTCAGCACCACGGTAAACCCCCCCAAAAAAAGTGTTTATGAAAAATTGCTGGAATTGCAAAAACGTGACTTTTTTTTTGTGATTTTCACATGAGATGCTGGCGACACAAGCTCAGCACAGAGTAACTCCGTCCCGTGGCTGTGAGAAAAGTAAGGCGTGCGACAAAACTGTGGTTCTTCCCAACGTCACGGAGCTGACAAGACTGAGTCGACATCAGATCCGCAGACCCAGGCGATGCATTTCTAAGTCAGCAACGGTGCCCACCAGGTCGACATGCTCATGGGCACCTTTATGGAAAGGAGGCAAATCCCAAGTGGATAAAGGGACTGACTGAAGGAAGCAGTGCGGGCGCTCTGGCACCAGCCCACACACCCCAAGTCTGGGTCACCAGGACAAAACGCCAGGCTCCTGTATTAAAACCAGAAAGAGCTTTGAACCCACTGGCAAGTTCAGTCCCCACCTTGCAGGAGATGAACCAGGCGTGACCGCACCTGTGATGCTCATGGCAGTGGGAAAGTTCATGGTCCACCTTTATGGCCACTGGCTGATCAAGGCGGGGCGCTGGTCCTGCCTCCCCTCACGGAGAGGGCTTTCCTAATCTCCTACTTAATTGCTTAGAAACACCTAGCAACAGAGGCTGTTGCCGCTTGTCATGGGGGCAACTCCCGGCTATCAGGGGATCAGAATCCACCCAGCACACCAGCGCTCGCCCCACCCTGTGCTTGTTCAGGACAGCTGGGGAAGTCGCCAGCGGGCCAGCGCACTTCGGCTTCAACAGCAAGTCTCTGTCACTGATTTGTGAAGTGCGTGCATCAACCAGGCAGTGATTACGACGAAAGAGTCTCACTTATGCCCAGAAACACAGCCCGGCAGGTCCCCTCCGGAACACCCCACCCCGGCAGCTCCAGCGGCCCCCACAGCTGCCCTCCGCAGGCGCTGCAGGTGGGGGACGTCCCTGGGGGAGTCTGAAGCCAGGAGCACGCTGGCAGCGATGGCGAAGAGGGTCTCCAGGTGGGCCGGAAGGCGCACAGGTCCTGGAGGGCGAAGCAGTGGTGTCCCCTGTCACCCACCCACCCCGGCTCACTACGGGTGCGGGAGGCGCCCCTGCCGCCACCACACAGTCCCCTGACACCCTGCAAAGGGTGCCGGCTCCTTCTCCACACACTCAGGCCTGGGCGCTGCTTCTGGTTTCGGGCTGCCGAAGCGGAACGCCCCAAGGCCTCGGTGTGGGGGCGCCCGACCCACCAGGCAGGGGCAGCAGGCTGGAGTTTAATCACTCTGGCGGGTGGGGGGGCAAGGGCAGCCCCGAAAGAGGTGTCGGCACCGAGGCTCCCAGCCAGCTCCGCCGGCGCCAGCGCTCCCAGCCGACCCTCCCCCAGACCCCCCGCCGCCCGGGGCCAACCTCAGCTCGGTCCTCGCTCTGCCTCCGCCGGCCGCAGCTCCAGGGACCGCCCGCGCTGCCCACGGTTCTCCGGGCGAATCTCCCGGCGCAGCGCCAGTTTCCCCACCCCACCCCCCGCACTGAGACTCCGCTGGGGGTGCTGGGGGGTTGTGGTTTCGCAGAGACGGAGACCGGCGGCTGCGCCTCCCCCCGGGTGACCCGCGCCCGCCCCGCTGACACCCGCCCGGCGTCCGCTCGGCCCCAACCTCCCCGGAAAACAGCTTCGCTTGAACCCACCGCGCGACGCGGCCCCCAGCGGGGAGGAGGCGGGTGGCAGCCGGCGGGTCCCTCCAGCCGAGGGGGCCGGGCCGAGAGGCGGGGGCGCCCTGCTGGGTCGGGGAAGCGGGACCCGGGCCCGGGGCTGCTCAGCCTTCCCAGGAGGCGCGTCCTACCGGGCCCCGCGCGTCTGCGAACTCAGAACCCGCGGCTCCTCGGCTTCGCGTCGGAGCAGCGGCGGTCCCCGGGGCGCGCCCGCGGCAGCACTCGAGTTAAAGAAAGTCCTCGGCGGCCACCGCGGGTTGGCCGGGGGAGGGGGGTGGTCGCCCAGCGCAGCGCGCGCCGCAGCCAAGGGCGGCCTGACCTTCACGGGGCCGGGGCGGGGGGCCGGGCCGGAGCCGCTCTCGGACTCATGCACAGGTGCCCGCCCGCCGCTCGCCGCCCGCACAGAAGTGGGTCTAGCTGCGGTCCGCGCCGGTGACCGAAACCGGCGCTCCCTCCTGCGGCCGTCCCTTCCCACTCTGTCCCGGCGCAGGCCCGACTCCCTCGGGCCCCGGGAGCACAACTTCCCGAGCCCGCAGGGCCCCAAGGACCGACCCCTGCCTGCCCCCGGGGTGGGGTCGCGGGACCGGTGGCCCCGAGGCTCAGACACGAGCGGAGGGAGCGAGTGGGCGGCCGGGCCGGGACCGACCCCGCGCGCTCCAGGTGCGCCTCCCCCGGGCGACCTCCTGGCCAGGGACCCGGACGCCGCAGGCTCTTTTGTTCTAGAACCGGGGGCGGAGAACGGCGGGCCCCGGACTTGGCCTGAAGAGCAGGTCCCCCTAGCCCCGGCCCCTCGCCTGCCCCCGCACGATCGCCGGCCCCGGAGCGCAGGAGACGGGAGGGGAGGGGAGGGGCCGGGCACGGGTGGCTCCGCGCACTCACCTCCCCTTCCAGCTGCACAGGTCGCTGGAGTACTGCGCGCCCGCGCCGCCCAGGAGCACCGCCAGCAGCGCGGTCAGCAGCAGCAACGGCTGCGGCGGCGACGGCGGGAGCGGGCCCTGGGCGAGGGGCCGCGGCCACAGCTGCCCCGCGCGCCCCCAGGCCGTCCGCGCCGCGTCCCGCATGCTCTGGCTCGGACTCTGCCGCCGCCCCCGCGTCCGCGCCCCGGGAGCAGACCCTGGAGCCGGCGCGGCCGGGCGGGGCGGGGGTGGGGGGTTCGAGTCCCGGCGATCACCTCGCGCGCTCCCCGCGTCCCCCGCGCGGCCGCCCGCCCATCCTGGCCCGCCCGGGACCGCCCGCGCCGCTGGAGCCGCTAGAGCCACGCGCAGAGCTCCGCGCCCGCCGCCGCCGCCGAGCCTCTGAAGTCTGCGAGTCCGAGTACGCCGGGCCGGGCTCAGCTGGGGGGTGGGGCCCACGCGCGCCCCGCCCCGCCCCGCCCCGCGCCGGAAACTCCTCCCGGGGCGCCCGGCCGGACGCGCAGACACCGAGTCAGCGGCGAATCCGGGTCGCGGGTGCCGGGGCGGGGGCGAGGGCGAGGGCGGGGGCGGGGGCGGGGGGCAGCTCCGAGGCGCGAGCCTGCTCCGGGGGAAAGGGCCCGGCCTGGACAGCGGAGTCGGGCGGGAGGGCGTCGGCAGCAGCGCGTCCCTGGCGGGTGCGAGGCGGAGGCGGGGTGGAAACTCGAGACCCTCGAGTACTGGCCGACGCGAGCCTCGCCGACCCTTTAGATCCCCGCGGAGGCGGTGCCCGGCCCCATCCCGCGGCAGCCCCGGCGCGGAGCGAGGCAGGCCCAGGCCCCCCCGGTGCTGGGTCCCCGCGGGGTGGTCCGGGCACCCGGCGCTGCCCAGAGTTCGAGCCTCGGTAGGTCCCGCCTCTCTCCTGCCGCGGCGGTGGGATCCGGAGGCCCAGCTGTGGGCCCGGCTTCCCCAGCGGAAGGTCCGAGCGCGCGGCCCCTGCTCCCGGAGGACGTGCGGCTGCTGCGCCGCTGCCTCTGCCGAGCTCTGCCAGCGCCTCGCTCTGGATCCGCGGGCCGGATGGTTCTGGGGCTGGAGACCCCCTGCGCGTGGCGGGATGTCAGCAGCACCCTGGCCCTGCACTCTGACCCCACCCCAGCTTCCACAACCCAAACTGTCCGCATATTTTGCCGAATCCCCCCCACCCACATCCGCAGGACAAGATCTGCGGAGCGTCCCGCTCGTGTGTTCTCAGAGTCGGTGCCTTTCCCAGGTGGTCGCCGCGGCCTCTACGCTCCTGACCCAGCGGGGAGGCAGCGGAGACCCCCGCCCAGACTGGGGAGGCCGTGCAGACTCGGGCCAGAGAAGGAGAGCCAGAGGGCGCCGCCGGGCAGTCCCCGCTGCGAGCGCGAGCGCAAAGCCGGCTCCTCGGAGCTGCGCGTCGACGGCCCTGCCCGAGACGCCTGGTTTCAGCTCCAGAGCCGAGCGCAGCACCCAGCGGTGGGAAAGCCTGGCCTTGTCCGCTTTCCCAGCCTAGATGCCTTCCAGGAGGACTTGCAAACCACTGTGGATGTCTGCACAACTGGGCTGTGACCACCGGAGCAGGTGGGGAGAGGATCTGAGAACTCTGAGTCTGCAGGGAGCGAAGTCACAGAAGAGGTGGGTGGAGCCAAACCCCCACCTCAGGAGAGCTGGGACAAGGCTGGGGGCCTGAAGAACGGGAAGATGGCAAAGTGACCGCTGAAGGTAGTTTCATTGTAAGGATCTGTTTGGAGTGGCCTGGAAATGCGCACTTCAGCACCCACCCGTCAAAAGCCTGGAGCCAGGACTGCCCAGCACATAAGGTGACATCACCTGAGACTAAAGGTCGGGTTGAGGTTTGAGGAACACACCTGTGCATTTCAGAGCTTGAGGACTCCCCGCTCCCACCACCTGCTCTAGGACTGTATCTTCCCCCACCCCCATCACTGCAGGTGCCAGGACGCCCAAGCTGGTGTGGACAGGGACCTGCAGCTTCACACCTGCACACAGCAACCGCTTTCCCGCCCTCCAAGCATAAGAAAGCAGCCCCGCCAGGCCCCGTCCACCCTTGCAGAGGCGGTGCTGGGACCTCCTGAGTTATGGATTTGCACGTTGGGACACACAACCTGCCATGACCTGCTCAGGGTCTCAGAGCCCCCTGTGGCTACTAGACCAAGGGCAGAGGCCACCTCTGGAGCAGCAGGGGGCTGGTTCCAGCCTAGGCTCAGGCAGAGATCTGCCCAGCTGGCAGGCTGCACAGCCTCCTGTGCCCAGCCTCCTGTGCCCGGCGGGCTGCCCTAAGACTGGGGTCGTATGATGGTGAGTAGGGGACCCTAGTGCACTTTTCAAAACCCATAGAAAATACAGCACAAGAGTGAATCCTGGTGGAGACTTCAGACGTTAGTAACAGCATATCAGTATTGGTTCTTTGACTGTCACACACCTACACCCTAATAAGAGAAGGTCATTGCAGTAGAAACTGGGTGGGGGAAGGGTTGTGGGGGACGTCTACCATCTGCTTGGTTTTTCTGTAAACCTAAAACATTAAGTCTGAATTAAAACAACAAAACGAACTAGGGTAAGAATGCTTGCTGGGCAGTGTTCTTGGAAGAAACTAATCTATCTTAGGAAAGGAGCCTGGCCCTCCCTTGCAGGGGCACAGGTTCTACCTTGGGGCTGTGGTTCCCAAGCTGTTCTCTTGAGGGGGTTTGTGCCCCAGAGACATTGGGTCCTCCTGGGCACCTGTGCTGACCCCTGTCCTGCCCAGCAAAGCCACCTACAGATGAGACATACCCTGAGATGAGGTTCTTGGTGTTGAGAGGTATCAGGCTCCTAGAGGGTGCAGGCTGAGGTGGTCGAGCTGTCTGGGGTGACCTCCAACCACTGCCCCTTGCACCTCCAGGCCCTGAGGCGCTGACTGTGAACCAAAAGGATCCCAGCCAGTTGTGGTGTGCAGCCCTCCCCGTGTCCTCTGGGAGGCTCTTCAAGGAAAGAGCCATGGGTGTGTCTGTCCCTGGATGTCTAGGAAGGGGCTGCTTCCCAGTGAATATTTCACAGGGTTAGACCCGGGATTAGGGCATTGTCCTCCCACGCCGTCGCCGTCGTGGGAAGGAGCTTCACAGCTTTGGGTGAAGTCCCTGCCTCCCTTGGAACACTGAGGCTGAGCCATGGAATTGGAGCACTCCAGAACCCACCATGATCACGCCTGCCCATTCCCTATACGGGCTGGCCCTACACCCTGGAATATGGCAGCTCGGGGATCTGGGCCGGGGGGGGGTGCTATTGCCCAATCGTAGGGCTGCATCAACCCTCTCTCCCTCGTCTGTCCATTCCCTCGAGGAACAGCTATCAGGTGCCTCCTGGGCAGAATTCTGTGATAAAAAGTTCTGGGTGCAGCCCCCGGATGGCCCTTCTATGCCCCACCAGAATCTGAGGCCTCAGAAAGCAGGACGTGGCCTTCCACGTCTGAGGACCACAGCCCACTGTGAAAGTCGAGTGACATCTACAGGCTCACCTCTGGGTTTTTGACCCAGGTGGGGGGCTGTGGGACTGGACCCCTTTCTGAGTCTTTCCAAATGTAGGTGCCTGCAGGCCTTGTGGGGTGGTCGACGGACATGGCTTGGATATCAGCCCCCTGGCTCTGGGTCACACACACAGTGGGGTTAGAGTCTGTTTCTGAGCCTCAGTTACCTGCAGAGTGAGCCTGTTCCTGATTCTCAGGGTGTTGTAGGGTTTGTGACGTCAGGATTCAATGCCAGATCTCCAGGAGGGAGCTAATTAGCTGAGGGCCTTCATTCAACGGCACCACCGGGCTGTCATTGGGGCTTGGGGTCTCACAGGGCTGTGGGGGGAACCCCCCACCATCCTTGCCACAGCTGAGAGTTCTTTGAGCCACTGACGGAGCCAGTGGGCTGTTAGCACTTTTATTTTCTGCCCAGCCTTGAGGTTTTAGAAGTCCGTTGACCACCAATGTGCTGCAGACAATGACCAGTCACTGAATCGTCTTGCTAAAGAAGAGTTCCTCATGGAGCAACTGGACTCCTCCAGAAAACATTACAGGTTTTCCCCAAACTCGTCCAGGAAATGCTCTCTTCAAGCATTTGAAAAGTACTTAAGAACACCAGCCGGTCACTGCCACTCATGTGAGAACAGTCACCCCGGAGGCCTGCTCAGCCGCCACCCCCCAAGCCACTTGTCACTCATTTCCCCTCCCAGGCCATTGTCGGCCTTCTCAGGGGACGTAATTACCGTAATTGAGGTTGAATGATAGGTGGAGAGCCTCTGCTTGTAGCTTAACGTTCAGCAACTTCAACGAGCAACGTGTAATTACCACACGGAACAGCCGTGGACGCCAGCCAGCCTCCACCTGATAACCTGCAGTGTATAATTCTTCCCTGACCCCTCCTTAACCTAATTTGCTGCCCTGTCTTGCTGTCTGTGCATCAGAGAAAAGTGGGAAGGGGACAGTTTCCTCGAGTTGGATACAAGTCCAGGCCGATGTGGCCGGCCGTGTGGCCTTGGGTGCTGCCCACCCCAGGCTGGCCAGGGGGAGAGAGGCCGCCGGCCGCCGGCGCAGCAGTGAGAGGCAGCTCGTGGGCGTTGACCTCACACTGTCCTAGCTGCTGTTTGCAGCAGTATCTCACCCTCCACCCCACCAGGAACCGACCAGGGGTGGTGAGCTGTAGTGACTCTGCCATCTCAGGCACGGAGCCCACACAGGGAAGGAGGGGTCCCCAGCCACCACAGGGGGGTGTCAGGAGGGGCCATCCTCAGTGCAAGGTGGATTTGTACACAGAGGTGGACATCTGAGTGGACCCTGGACATGGCCAGTCAGATATGCTCAGAAGCAGTGACCACGTACACACAACAGGTCTGCGGTCCCCAGGGACATCAGCTGAGGGCCCCAGCCCACTCATTCTTGAAGCCGCTCATGACAGAGAAGGAATTGGCATCCTCACTGCCTCGGGGGAGAGGGAGTGTCCTGCATGCTGACTACCTAAAGTCTGAACCTCAAAAACGTTGAAGGCAGGCTGGGTGCGGTGGCTCACGCCTGTAATCCCAGCACTTTGGGATGCCAAGGAGGGCGGATCACCTGAGGTGGGGAGTTTGAGACCAGCCTGACCAACATGGTGAAACCCCATCTCTACTAAAAATACAAAATTAGCCGGGCGTGGTGGTGCATGCGCTTGTAATCCCAGCTACTTGGGAGGCCGAGGCAGGAGAATCGCTTGAACCCGAGAAGCAGAGGTTGCAGCAAGCCAAGATCTCACCACTGCACTCTAGCCTGGGCAACGAGAGTGAAATTCTGTCTAAAAAAAACCAGAAACAAAACACAAAAACCACGTTGAAGGTGCAGCATGCAGGG